GTGCTCTGGAGCACTTCAGGTACTTCTCATGGAAGATGAAAGCAGTGGAGTACCACCCTGCCCTGGCAAGCAGCAGGCTGGGGACATCAGCCTGGCCGGCAGCTCCCCGAGGATGCCCAGCACGTCGGGTTTGCGGTGGGGGAGGACAGAGACCAGACAACCCAGCTCAAAGAGACAAGGAATTTGCCCAGACCAGTGATCTTCCACTTTGCGACTGCGTCGTGCACACCAAACGCCCGCACGCGTGCCTTGCTCGTGGAGGTCACAGGCGCCCAGGACCAGAGCTTTTCTGGTGCAACAGCGCGTGGAGCCAGAGCGGGTTTCACCGCTCGCTGCTCAAAGGGCAACTCCAGGCAAGAGCTCCTCCAGCCTGAGCAGAGCATGAACTTGGGCTAACGCTGCCCGGACATCAGCACAGCCAGCTCAGGGTTAATTTTACAGCTGGGGCAACGCACAGAGGGAAACATCTGAGCTATGGCACGCACGGCTCCATAAATAAGGCACCCTCTCCCGAGTATTTCTGGAGTGGCCAGGGGAGCCAGCCACCACAGGAATAAACCTCTTCACTTTGCAAAGGAAATTCAGCTCCTGAGCCTGCAGGTTAGCTTGAGCTGGGTTCGCCCCAGGAGCACCCGGCTCTGCCCGACCCACGCGGCTGGGTGCCCCTTGCTCCCAGTACACCCAGTCACAGCCCCGGCTGGGACGCAGGCCCGTCGCACGGCTCCCCTGACTTGCTGGCACGCTAGCGAGCTCACGTTCCCCTGCCTCAGGTCTGGCCCATTGAGCGTGTTTCTGTTAAATGCATTTGAGAACAAAAATCCGTCTTCAGCAGAAAAAGAAAAATCAGCTCATTAAGAAGACAGACAGCGTCTACAGTCTGAAAGGAACAGCAAATGGCAGCTGCCAAAAACGTCGATGTTAAATGCAGCTGCCAGCTGGGATTTATTAAAAGGTAGCTATACAGTGGCGGCGGCAACCGGCACATCTTGTACTTGGGTCCTCTCCCCTTCCTCTCCCACCTTCGCGGAGGTTGCTGGCTCGCATGCATCCAGCCCCGCTGTGACCTCCGGGACTGGCAGCCTGGACGTGATGGGTTTTGCTCACTGCCTGCCTATTTTATTTGGTTCTTTTACCTGCGAAAGCCAGAACCGCTGAAAACAGCTAAAGCATTACTCTGGGAGGGCGAGGTACCACCTTTCCCAGCGTGACCCTGCTCTGTGTGGGCAGGGAAACGCACCCAGCACTGTTCCGGACAGTAACTAAGCCACCGCAGGCTCAGCCACGAAAACAAGCAGGCACCAGGCTCATGCCATCCAACTGGAGTTTTCCCTTGCTCCTACAGAGGATCCGGGCTCTATTCCACACGTGAATACCCTATGCTAAAATAGAAGGACAAGACATCTAGGGAAGGGAGAAAACGGGTAAATACCACCTGTATTGGCTCAAGAAGCAAGGCGCACTCAGCAGGGACCACAGCACTTGTGTCCTACACCTGGCACGGAGGTGGGGCATCTCCAAAATGAAGCACGAGCTGGCCTCCACGCTCCTCTCTGCAGAGGTGTTTGCTCTTGTCACTCGCAACCTACCTGGTTCTTCATCATCAGCGCAGGACAAGGACTGATGCCTGTCTCAGCCCCACATGCCATCACCCAGCGACACCTCCCACCCCGTGGAATTTCCCACCCGTACCCACCTCTTTAAGACTGATGTTTGCTGTGTAGACCACGTTCGTCCCATCCCTCTTGAAGTGCGAGTGAGGCTTGTCCTTGAGGATGAAGACTATGTCGGCAGGGATGTTGTCTGGGGTGGCGTCCCCTTCCTTGGGGAATGTGATTTTGGTTCCCTCCTTCCAGCCCCGTTTGATGACAATGTTTAGGATCTTGTCCTCAGTCCTCATGGTTCGGCCATCAGCGTTGAGCCTTCTGCGTGTGATCTTCATCCTCTTGGTGGAGCCGTGGTAGATCTCTTCCAGGGACACCTTGAGCTCATGGATGACGGGTGGGTCTTGGACCTTCCTCCGCGTGTGCAGGGACTCTTGGTGCCGCCGGTGAACCCCGTTAATGCCGTTGAAGCCAAACCGGCCAAAGGCACTGAAAGGGTCATCATCGTCATCGATATCCATGTCTTCCTGGTCAAAGCCATTGAACATCCGGGAGCGGCTGCTAGCGAAGAAGATGTCGAAAGGGTTGGAGCCTCCGAAGAAGGATGCGAAGGTGGCATGCGGGTCTCCATGGAAGGTGTAGTGGAAAGTGTTCCCTGAGCCACCTGAAGAGCCACCTCCAGTTTTGAGACCTGGAAAAGAAGGGGGAAGACGAGACATGAACGCTCCCCGCCTGTGGACGCCGTGCTGAGACCGCACTTCCCAGGCAGGAGCGTGGTCTCTGTGGGCTCCAGGCAGCCCTTCCAGCATCTCCTGGGGGTGCAGGGCCCCCCCGCCAGCCCAGCCATCTGCAAAGTGTGTGGGCTAGGAAGGCACCACCTCAACCCATGACACACAGTCCTGTCCCTGCACCCAAAAATCCATTCAGGTTTTGTCCCTGCTGTCCCTACAGAAGTGCTTCTTTGGTTCTTTCCACCCAGTTCACGGCCCTCACACGTAAAACATTTCCTGGCCAGTCCATCTCCATTATCCCTGCGGGCAGGCTCCCTTCTGCCCAAATAGCCCCGTTTCTCAGGCAGCACCGACGGCCACAGACCAGGAGCATCATGTCCTGCAGATGAGATCCGGCTTTGAGCTCGGTGAGCGACTGTCGCTCTGGCTGGCCGAGCAGGTGGGGGCTCAGCAGACCTCCAGGTCAGCACGTGGCTCCCTGCACACAGACTAGACAGAATGCCAGGGAAGCTCAAGGTCTGGATCTTTCAGCAACCATTCCCCTGGGAAGCTCCCCTGCCTGGTCCCAGGCTGAGCCTCACGTCACTGCAACCCCCCCAAAGTCCCAAGCAGCCAACGCACACGACGAGTGGCCCCCCCAAAGAGGTCACACACGCCCTGTGAGGCTATTTTTGACCAGGAGGGGCCACGAAGGGTTAAGCCAAGTCCAGCTCAAGGACTATTTTGAGGGGATGCTGGTGACAGTGAAGGGCTATTTCTGACATTTCTGACGGGCTGTCCCTCACGCTGGTCCCTGCGGTGGGAGATAGGAGAGGGACAGGCACAGAGCGGGCAAGTTTGTGGGTCTTTTCTGATCGGTGACGTTAATACTGTGTGTGGGTGGGGGGGCTCTCGCTCCACCTCGCTCACCCCAGCGCCTGGGACCCAGAAGGCCCTTGAAATGCTGATCCCCAAGACACGTTGCTCCAATAAAAGGCATCTGATGGGAAACGAAAGGTGGACCACAGCTGGACCAATGGAGTTTGGCTTTGCCGGGACTCCCTGTCCCGCTGGGACGAGGAGGTGATTTTGCCAAGTCCCCGACGAGCCCCTGCCCCTGACAGATTGTACAGCCAGGAGGTTTCACCTTTAATCCCATGACGCCAGCCTGAGCGGGGTCCGATTTCGGCGTCGCCTCCGGGGAAAGGCTGGTTTCCCACTTGTGACAGCCACTTCTCACTTTACACCACAGCCAACCACCCTGCCTCGGTGCGTCCATCACAGCCCTGACATAACTAACGGGTCGAGAATTAACCCTGCACCGGTTAATTCTGCCGGTGGCTCATCAGGGGATGCACCTGCCCGATGGCCCCGCGAGAGGGGCTGCCTCTTCCACCCAGCAGCCTGTCCGGTCCAGACCTCCTGCTCTTTCAAGCACCCAAGCCCTGGGCTGATTAATGCAGATGCTATTCGGCGCTCTCCTCAAATGGGGTTGTGCTCTTCCATCTTCGACTAATAAGGCCGCCCGCGGTGGAGAGGCTCTTCTCCTCCTCCTCCTCCTCCGTGCCAACCACCAGACAACAGCAACCGCTTGGTTTCAAAACAAGGACCTATTACTTAAATTGGGAAAAGCTTTGAATCCTGTAGGTCAGCCTGCACCGGGGAGGACAGCAGGACCAGTGCCCAAACGCGAGGGGAATGTGGGCAGTACTCCTCCGCCGGGAAATTTATTTAATTAAAAGGTTGCTAACGAATTTGCCCAGGTATGACCCAAGTGGAGCAGCCCGAGGGGCGCGGGTCGAGAGTCGATTTCTGGCACTGGCAGAGCCTTCGCTCTCCCCATTTTCGCAGCCATCAGCCCCGGCACGCACCGCAGGAACGCGTCTGCGTGAAAACGCTCCCTCGCCTATAAAATCTGCTTTGGACCCCGCGCCCCACAGCGCTCGTCCCCTTACCTTCCTCCCCGTACTGGTCGTAAACGGCTCTTTTCTTGGGGTCGCTCAGGACGTCGTAAGCCTCCGCGATCTCCTTGAACTTCTCCTCGGCGTTGGGGTCTTTATTCTTATCGGGGTGATACTTCAGGGCCATTTTCCGATAGGCTTTCTTAATTTCATCCTCGTTGGCGCCGGACTGGATGCCCAGGATCTTGTAATAGTCCTTCCCCATGACGGCGACGCTGCCGGGAGCCGAGTACTTATTCCTGAAAGCAGAAAAGACAGCTCTCCGTAAGGCGAATACCGCACCGGGGCGGCTGGGGACGGGACCGGCACCCGCCCGCTCTCAGCGCCATAGCCGGGCCAAGTCCACGCGTCCCACCGGAGGTCAGAGCCCCGGCGCCAGGACGTGCCCCGGCTCCGGTTTTACCCCCCCGAGCCCCGCGGTGGGGATGGGGAGACTCATCTCCGGGGCTGCTGGGGAGAGGGAGAGCCCGAGCCCGGGGCACGGCGTTATTATAGAGCCCACGCCACTGCTCACGTCAGGCCAGGACCACGTCCCCGTCCCGGCCCCCCTCCCTGAGCCAGGAGGGCTGAGCCATGTCTAAATCTAGCCACCGGCCCATGTCCGTCTGTCCCTCCCCAGTGCTCTCCCAGCCAGGGGCCAGGGACGGGAGTCGGGGTGATGACAGCAGGTTTTTGGAGGCTGAAAGCAGCAGCAGGGACCGTGCTGCTGCCTTCACCTTAAAGGAACTTCAAACGTTCTGTTCCTGAAAGCAATTGGCATTCGGCTGGAGATAAGCGCCTCCGGCGTGTCAGAGACGTAATTTGTATTTAGCGAAGAGAGAACGGAGCCGTTAGACAGAAAC